AGTTACTGTAAAGCTGGCACCACGTTCTGTTTGCCGAAGAAGGAAGAAATGAATGCAGGATCTTTCTTCGGACAGTCTGGAGCTCCCAGTATATCGGTGCAAAAATTATACTTTAATTCTGCACCTTCATCGTGTTGGCCTGTGTAAATGCTCGACCGCTTAAGTAGCTGTCTTAGTAAATGAAGAAAGATGCAATGATGAGTGGCTCAGGAAGAACCTAGGGTGATAAAAGCAATGGGTTGGCAGGAGAGAACAGAGAGTACGTATGATCACTGGTGAGGATGGCCAGAGGAGGCTACAAGAGCAGTGGAGGAGTGTTATCGTCTTTGCTTAGGACCAGGCCGAGAAGAATAAGAGGACGGTGGTGGTTGGCCTCAGCTCCGATAACTCCAGCAGAGAGCTTCTGTTGAGGCTGCTCACCTCGGTGGTGGTTCCTGGCGATAATGTGCTCGCGGTTCATGTGACGGAGACGGATGATTCTTTCGATCCCAATTATTTCCATATCCATGAAGATCTCTGCAAGTCCAAGCAGGTCCTTAGCTTTCCTTCTCTCCATTGAGATGATTAATAGGACTATTACCCAACTCCCATGGCGTTAATTCTTGGATAAATATGATGACTATCTTAGGCAGTGTTTAGGAAAGTAGAAAGAGAAAGCAAAGGAAGGACAATGATCTCCTTTAACGAAGAGAGAAAGGAATGAACAGAAAATATTCTAATTTCTATTCTTTCTCCCCTCTTTTTTTTTTTTTTTTTTTTTTTTTTTTTTTTTTTTCTGGGTAAGTAAAATTTAGTCCTGACGCAGGTAGACTTCCAAGTTAAGGCCTGTGGAGGAGGTTCATATGTCAGTCAACTGGCCCACCAAGTTCGAATCAACTTTGCAACCATTCTGGCGGTTGGGTGCAGCTCCCCATGGTAGTGAGAACTGATCACCATCTCTCTCTCCCCACATAGCTATATGTACGTAGGTGGTGAAATAAGTGTTTGTTGTACAGGCCCAAAAATGCGATGGTTTCAGAATTTTTGAAGGCCCTGCCACCCACATGCTCTCTTCTGGTGATGGACAGGGGAGGAAGAATTTTGGTGCAGAGGCAGGGAACTTCGCAGGAAGGGTCTGTGACTCCAGTGAGAGTTCTTCGCTCTTCTCTCTCCTCAATTTCGCAGTACAACAACCGCTCTGACCAGTCAGACCCACCGAGGCCTCAGATCCAAAAGTCCCTCACAATGCCGTCTTCTTCCAGCTCCTCTTCATCCCAACTAGAACCCCAAAGCACCAGAAAACAGGGCCTCGTAGTCCCAAACTTGATGAGCCAGAAGCTGTTTCAAAGACCCGCAATGCTGGAAATTAAGGGTTCAGGGAGAAGATTCACCTCGGAGGAGCTAAGTTCTGCAACTAATGGATTCAGCCAGGATATGGTCATTGGAGAGGGAGGGAACAGCCGGGTCTACCTGGCGGAGCTGGAGGACGGGCGGGCCGCCGCGGTGAAGGTCTTGAGGGACACGGAGTCTTCTGTGGATGATCTGTTCAGGTAGAAAATACAATTTTGAAGTTGATACGATTACACTACTTTTGCCAAGTGAAGACAACAAGTCATATTAAATCCTACTGCTTCTGAAACTAAACGTGGCTCTGCCAATTCTTCACAAGATCTCGTTTGATATGAAACTTGACTGGATTAACTTTATTATTGCAAATGAACAATTAATCTTTTAGTAAATCTTTGGATTTTAATCTAATCTGAATTAAGATAAAATATTAAAAAAAATAAACCCAAATTGTCACTTCTATTCTTAGGGAGGTGGAGACTCTGAGTGGGTTGAAGCATAAGAATGTGGTTCAACTTTTTGGATACTGTTATGGCAAGGGAATGAATGCAATCGTGTATAATTTACTGAACGGGAGCTTGAAGCAGAGGCTGGGAAGGATGAAGTGGAGGGAGAGGATGAGAGTGGCAATTGGAGTGGCCAAGGCACTGGAGTATCTCCATTCTCGCTCTCCTCCAGTGATTCACCGAGATGTGAAGTCATCCAACATTTTGCTATCTGATAATTGCCACCCACAAGTAAGTTTCTTGAAAAACTTGCAAAGCCCAGCTTATTTTTCAGAAAAAGCCCTGCGAACTTTTTAAAAATACCTTTGTTTGGTATTTTTTTGGCTTATTTTTTGCCACGGCCTGAAAATCGGAAACAAGACTGGCGCAAGGGTCAAAATAAATTTCAACATTGTAAACCTAATAGAAAATATGAAATTTAAACAAAATGCAATCCAAAACCATACTAACTGGTCTGTCAACATATAACACAAAACTTGTCTGTAGTCAAATGGAGTATACTAAAATCTCAAAAATGTAGAGTTTGAAAGAAATTAAATAACTAATTTTAAAAAATTTAAACAAAAACAGCTAATAATATGGATTCCTTTTAGATAGCAGGATCCGTCGAATCAACGAACTCAGAATCTGAAAATAAAAAAAGGGTGGGTTAACAGATTAAATAAATAATAATATGCATATTTGAGAATAAAGGACATACATACAAATATGACAAATAATTCATTGAATATAGATTTTTAACAATAAATATTCATAATTTAGAGTGTTCAAAATTCAGAACGTCACATATATCAGAAATTGGAATGGCAACTCAAAGTTTGTCAAATAACAAAACAATGATACTCAATTTACCAAATAACAGAATGGTGACACTCAGTCTGTTGCAACAACACCCACAGTTTGCTGGTATACAGATATGCAAATTACAGTACCTAGGCTAACACTATACAGATATGCAAATTGTAGTGTTCAAAAATTTGAAACTCCTTCCAAACATTTTTTTCCAAAAATAATAGAACAGTTTAACAGAATTTTTCCATTTACAGATATAAAACAAATCAAACATAAGTAATAGATAGTTCTCCAAAACAATTTCAGAAATTACATGCATGTCCCTTGTTATACATTATAACAGAATTTAACCAATTTTTTTAGAAAACAGGTATATCATATAAATAAGATTTTATCACAAATATAGAAAATAGTAAATGCTCATAAATACATATTATTACTCACAGAAATAACGAAAATTGACAAAATCCAATCTTTTGCAATGTAGCTCAACAAGTATCTATGAATAATTTAAAATCATAAAATAATAAAATATCTCAATTTCTGTCTCTAATATATCCAAGAATCATATAAATAAAATTCTAGATTTTATGCCTGAACCCATACTAAGGCCACTAAAGTTTTAAATTGGTCAAATAAGTCATGAACCGATCTTATAAAACATAAAAATCAGTTTATTTAAACCCAAAATCATCATTTAATACATTGAACTAGTCCTGAACTGGCCACTAAAAAACTGAACTGGCCATTAAGAGGCTGATCGCCATTAACCACTAAACCAGCCATATATCAATCTCTACCACACTAAACTAGTCTTGAACTTGTTTGAGAAACACTGAATAGGCCTTAAAAGTCACTGGACCAGCCTTTTATATGTTGCATTGGCCTGGTTTATGCATAAAACCTTTGAATCGGGCCTAAAACGATGGTTTTATCATTGAACCAACATTGGACCAGTTAGTTTAATTATTTACCTAATTTATCTTGGCTTGAACCGAAAGAGAAACCGGTCATGAAGCCTCTGAACTGACTATTCTTTCTACTTCTTTCTTATTTTTATTTTATTTTTTATTATATTTTTACTTAAATCCAGATCCAAAATTCAGATCCTAACTGAGCCCCATACCTCGACCCAAGCCTTTACATAAATTCCTGGCTTGGCCCAATTCTAGGCCTGGTTGAAGACAGAAATCCATCTTCTAGCCCAGACCCGGATCTTCTCACGTTGGTTCATCCTCACCTAAAATCCCCATTGACTAGCAAAGAAAGCACACTTTGTTATGGGCCAAATTGATCAACAATTCTAGCAGATCTTAGAGAATCGAGGGTCAAGCTAACAAGGATGGTCTTTGGTGATGGCGTGCACAAAATTACTCGATCACTTGGTGGCTAGTTCCATGAAATTTCTAGGTTTTTCCCTTGTCGATTATGGTAGACAATATCGGACAATTCTTTTGAGATTTCTCACCAACTACAGGCATTTTGTGAAATCAAACGAGTAAACTCGTTTCAAAGATTCATATTAATGTGTTGGTGTGATCAATTTTGGAATTTAATCATAGAATCTCGAGGATTTGGTTGGATTCCAACTCGGCGTTTCAAAAGGAAATTTGGGAAAACAACCAAATCCAAATTTTTTTGGGTATTTTTTAATTTAGTCCCCCAATTTCCTAATTTGATGCGATTTGCCCATTTTCCCTGATTTTGTTTGATTTAGTCCTTGACTATTATTTTATTTATTTCTTCTTCTTCTTATTATTTTATTATATATATATTATAACTTCTTAATAATACCTAAAAAATTTGGGGTATTACAATTTTTCTCCCTTAAAATAAATTTAGTCCTCGAATTTAAAATACAAAAACAACAACTAAACTTGTGCCTTAAATAGGTGAGGGTATTTAGCATGCATTGCCTATTTTGGTTCCCATATTGATTCACTCTTCGTGTAATGTCTCCATAACACTTTTACAGATACTATCTCCTTGGATCTTAGTATTCTAGTCTGTCGATCAATGATAGCCATGGGATATCTTCATAAGATAAGTTTGAACCCAGCTGTATCTCTTGTAGTGCCAATACATGAGAAGGATCTGGTAAGTATTTCTGTAACATGGACATGTGAAATACGGGATGTACTGTAGACAACTCAAGTGGAAGAGCCAACCGATAAGCTACCACACCGACATGATCCAGAATCTTGAACAGGCCAATATAATGCAGACTTAGTTTTCCTTTCTTTCCGAATCACATAACTCCCTTCATCGATGATATTTGTAGAAACACATGCTCTCCGAGGAGAATTCCAACTCTTGTCAATACTGATCTACATAGGCTTTCTGCTAGTTTTGAGTGGAGAGTAACCTTTGTCTGATTAACTGAAATTTACATATCATGTCCTATATCAAGTTTGGCCCTAGAATTCTAGCTTCCCCCACCTCAAACCATCCAATCAGAGATTTTAGCGTTGACCATATAATGACTCAAAAGGTGCAATCTGAATGCTCAATTGATAACTTTTATTATAAGCAAACTCTATCAATGGCAAATACTAGCTCTAGTTACCGCCGAAATCCAAGACACATGCTTGTAACATGTCCTCCAAAATTTGAATAGTCCTCTTAGACTACTCGTTTGTCTGAGGATAGAAAGCTGCACTGAGATCCAATCAAGTGCCCAAAGTCTTGTGAAGGGCTCTCCAAAACTTAGAAGTGAACTGAGATTCTCGGTTGGAAATGATAGATACTAGTACCCTATCAAGCCTTACTATCTCATCTATGTACAACTGAACATATTGGGAGACGTCGTAAGTCATTTTTACTGGAAGGAAGTGCACTAACTTGGTCAATCAATCCACTATTACCCAGATATAATTGAATCCCCTAAGGGTTCGTGGCAAGCCTATAACGAAATCCATAGTAATCATTTCCCATTTCCATTTCGATTTCGGTATCTTTATTTGTTGAAGTAATCCTGCTAGTCTTTGATGCTCAACTTTAACTTACAAGCAAGCCAAACACAAGGATACAAAATCTACTATGTCCTACTTCATGCCCTCTCACCAATATAGTCGCTTCAAATCCTGATACATCTTGGTGGAGCCGATATGAATGGTATACTTAGAACTATGAGCTTCCTTTAAGATAGCTTTTCTCAAATCACCAACATTAGGCTTGCAGATATGGGTGTTGCACCTCAAAACTCCCTGGTCATCGACCTTGAACTCAGCATGCTTCCGTGTTCGAACCACTTCCTTGATTTTCAACAATTTGGCATCCATGTCTTGATTAATCTTGATGAGCTTAAGTAAGGATGTCTGAGCCAATACCTAGGCCAATAATATCCCAGATTGATCTATCCTGAGTCGTATACCTTTTTGCTCTAGTCCATGTATCTCTTCTATTAATGGCCTTCTCACTTGAGTTATGTGAGCTGAACTTTCCATAGATTTTCTGTTCAATGCATCTGCCACTACATTAGCCTTCTCAAGATGTTACAGGATAGTACAGTCATAATTCTTAAGCAACTCCATCCATATTCTTTGTCAGAGATTCATATCCTTTTGCTAAAAGATGTATTTCAAACTCTTATGATTGGTGTAGATCTTGCAAGGTTTCCCATATAGGTAATGTCTCCATGTCTTCAGTGCGAAAACAATCATAACCATCTCCAAATAATGAGTGGGGTAGTTCTACTCAAATTTCTTAAGCTGTTTAGATGTGTAAGCTATAACATGATCATTTTACATCAGTACGCATCCCACACCCACTCTAGAAGCGTCATAATATACTGAGAATCTCCTTGTCCCAGATGGTAATGCCAGAATAGATGCAAAAGTTAGGCGACTCTTAAGCATTTGGAAACTCTCCTTACAAGCATCTGACCACTAAAATTACACTCCCTTCTGGGTTAATTGAGTTAAAGGGGCAACAATATTAGAGAAGTCCCTCACAAAATGATGATAATACCATGCTAAGCCAAGAAAACTATAAATCTCAATAATAGATTTAGGTGTAGGCCACTACTGCACTGCTTGGACTTTACTATTATCAACCACAATCCCTTCCTTTGAAACCATATGCCCTAGGAAAACCATTCTATCCAGCCAGAACTCACACTTCAAAAATTTTGCGTATAAGCGATACTCTCTCAGGGTTTGTAACACCTCTTGTAAGTGTGACTCATACTCTTCTGTGCTCTTGAAGTACATCAAAATATCATCAATGAAAAAGATCACAAATCGATCTATGAATGATCTAAACACATGATTCATTAGATCCATAAAAGCAGCTGGAGCATTGGTCAGACCGAAAGACATCACTAAGAATTTGTAGTGGCTGTATTGTTTTCTAAATGCGGTTTTTGGAATATCCTAGCGTTTGATCCTTAACTGGTGATACCTAGATTGCAAGTCAATCTTCGAGAAATACATTATTCCGTGCAACTGATTGAACAAGTCGTCTATCTGGGGCAATGGATATCTATTACGTACTATCACCTTATTGAGTTATTAATAGTCAATACACAGTTGCATACTGCCATCCTTCTTCTTTACAAACAAAATTGGAGCACTCCAAGGAGATGTGCTCAAACGAATGAAACCCTTACTTAGAAGATCTTGTATCTGTGCTTTCAATTCTTTAAGCTCTACTGGTGCCATACGGTAAAGAGGTATAGAGATCGGTTGTGTGTTTGTAATTAGGTCGATGCAAAACTCAATTTCCCTTTCAGAAAGGATATGGGATAGATTGTCAGGAAATACATCGACAAACTCCTTAACGACTAGAACTTGCTCTATGCTAGGCTTTGCGACTCGGGTGTCCTTGATCAGGGCCAAAAATCCCTGACACCTCTAGATAACAAATGCTTGCCCTAATATATGATATAACTCAAACAAAAGCTAAGCTATAATTGTCCTCCAACATAAGTGGTGGTTCATCAGGTATCTCGAATCTCACAGTCTTGGTATGACAATCCAATGTAACATAACAAGAAGCCAAAGTAATCTATACCCAAGATCACGTCGAAATCAGAAATATCCAGGATGATCAGGTTCACTGTGAACTCTCTATCCTTCACTCGAATTGAACAGAACTTATATACTTGTAGATGGAGACTCAAATCGAGTGGCAAAAATCGGAGATACATAAGAATGAGTAGATCCAGGGTCAAATAATGCACATGCATCAAAGGAGCATATGGTAATCATACTTGTAATCATGGCGTTATACGCTTGAGCATCTTGTCTGCACTCCTGACTTCTCCCGATCTAGCTGCGTCCTTTTCCATTTGAATCTCGTCCCTGTGCTTGGGCTGGCTGATCAGGATTAGGCTGAGCCACTCTGTTGAACTGCCCCATTACATGAGGTCTGGTTATAGACAGTTTTTAATCTTATGCCTGAGTCCACCACATTGATAGCAAGCTTCGTTTCTTTTATAGCATGGTCCCCGATGCTTACCCCCACAAGTATCGCAAACTGAAACATCACGATTTTGTGACATAGAATTGTACTGCTCGAATTGCACCACACTCTTATTTTCTGTGACTGGCATAGAGATAGCTGTAGACAATCCTCTTGAATGTGGTGCCTTGGCCTGCGCATGACGCTGAGAACCTTGAAACGCTGAACCCTTACATGAACTCTAACCCCCATCAAAGGATCTTGAGGTCCTAACCTTCTTCCTGGTGTCTTTTACTGCCCTTTGCTCAAACTCTCTAGCCTTGATCACTTGGGTAACATCCACTACCTTGGCATAAGTATACTTTTCCATTTGTAAAGCCAAAGCTTGGAACAAAGGTGTTACCAACCCTCTAATGAATCTCTTGGCCTTTATATTCTCATCTGCTACCAAGTGCAGAGCATACTGAGATAGATGATTAAAACGAGCATCATAATTCAGCACTATCATGTCTAGTGTTTGTTTGAGGCACTCGAATTGCGCTGCTAATTGATCCCTCTTATTTGCTAATAGAAATCTATTTATGAATGCATTGATAAATTCTTTCTAAGTCATCGGTGTTGCTTTCTTGGGCTTCCCAGATAATGTGATCTTACACCAAGACCAAGCCAAATCATACAGTTTATATGCAGCTAACTCCACACACCTCAGACTAGAGTACCTTATCACCTCAAATATGATTTCCATGGAATCAATAAAGTGCTGTGGATTCTCAATAAACCCTTTTCCAAAGAAGTTAGGTGGCTTAAATTTGAGGAAGTCTTGGACCTGAGTTTCGAGTTCGATTTCATGCTTATATCGTTCCAGGGCTACCTGTACCACAATTGTATCAGCCTGAACCTCCTATCTCCTCTAAATCGACTCTTGTCCAATCCCTAAAGGAATCTCTCGAGTCCTCTTAATTGAGCTCGGCTAGCCACCTGTACCAACCTCTAGTACTCCTGGACCTGTATTCATCAAAGTCCCAATCCTCTCCTGGTCAAATATCTTATCCATCAAAGCAATCATAGTCTGTTGTGTCCCCTGAATGCCAAGTAGGACCTCAGTTAATCTGTCCAAAGCATCGGTAGGTCAAGCAATCTCCTCAAGCTTTGTTTGTCTACCTCGACTAGCTGCCCTACCACGGCCTCTCCTTATAACCCTATTTCCACCCTATCCTTTCCCTTGTACTAGTGCGGAGGGTTGTCTGTCTAATCGTATATCAGGATAGGGTGACCTGTCTTGTGGTATCTTGGGAGTCACTGAGTTTTTGATATTGAGTTTTTGATTACAATTTTTGCATGATGCATCCATCTATCAAAAGATTACAAACAACATATAATAAGAGTAAGAACGAAGGTAAGATCAAATTAGCAATCGAATTCAAAGAACAGAAAACTCCTACTTGCCCATCTATAGCGTCTCCATTATGAGAGTGGCTGGCTCACAATCATAATTGGGACTTTACAGATGAACGACTGCTCCATCAACCACAAAAAACCTAGAGCTCTGATACCAACTTTGTCATGATCTGAAAATTGGATATATGACTAGCGCAAGGGTCAAAATAAATCCCAACCCCGCAAGCCTAATAGAAAATACGAAATTTAACTAAACTGATAATTTGATATAAAACAAAATGTAATCCATAACTTTACTAACTGATATGTCAACATATAATACAAAACCTGTCTGTAGTCAAATTGAGCATAATAAAATCCTAGAAATACAGAGTGTGACAGAAACTAAATAACAAACTTTGAAAAATCCCAACAAAAATAACTCATAATACGAACTTCACTCAGATAGAAGGATCTATCAAATCAACAAACTTAGAATCTAGAAAATAAATTAAGAGTAAGTCTATAAACCTAGTGAATAATAATATATATTTATGAGAATAAAAGATATGTATACAAATATAACATGTAATTCACTGAAAACATATTTTTAATAACAAATATTTATAATTTAGGGAGTTTAACATCCAGAACGTCACACATATATCAAAAATCAGAACGGTAACTCACATCTGCTAAATAACAAAACAGCGACACTCAATTTGGCAGATAACAGAACAGCAACACCCACAGTTTACTGGTATACAAATATGCAAGTTAAGGTACCCATGCTAACACTTACTACCATTAGCTATAGTGTTCTAAAATTCGAAACTCCTTCAAGACATTTTTTCCAAAAATAACAGAATAGTTTAACAGAATTTTTCCATTTATAGATATAAACTAAATCAAATATAAATAACAGATAGTTGTCCAAAATAATTCAGAAAATTACATACATGTCCTTTTTTATACATTTTAACAAAATTTAACCAAAATTTTCAAAAAATAGATATATCATACAAAACTAAATTTTATCATAAATATGAAAAATAGTAAATGCTCATAAATATACATTATTACTCACAGAATTGACGAAAATCGACAAATCCAATCTCTGACAACACTGCTCAACAAGTATTGTACGAACAATCTAAAATCGTACAATGATAAAATATCTCAATTTCTATCTCTAATGTATTTAGGAATCATATAAATGAAATTTCCTAATCAAGGAACCAAATAAAATTCTAGATTTTTCGTGCCTAAACCCATACTAAAGCCACTAAAGTACCAAACCGGTTAAATAAGTCATAAACTGAACACCAAAATCATGAACTGATCTTATAAAACATAAAAACTAGTTTATTGAAATCCAAAATCATCATTTAATGTACTGAACTGGTCATAAACCGTCCACTAAAGGACTGAACCGGCCATGAACTGGCCTTTAAATTACTGAACTGGCCATATTTCAATATCTATCACACTGAACCGGTCTTGAACTGGTCTAAGAAATTTTGAACCAATCTTAAAAGTCACTGAACTAACCCTTTATATGTTAAACCGGTTTGGTTTATGCATAAAACCCTTTGAACTGGGCCTAAAACAATGGTTTTATCATTGAACCAACATTGGACTGGTTAGTTTAATTATTTACCTAATTTATCTTGGCTTGAAGTAGAAGAGAACCAGCCATAAAGCCTTTAAACCGGCTATTCTTTCTATTTCTTCCTTACTTTTATTTTATTTTTTGTTATATTTTTATATAAATCTAGATCCAAAATTCAAATCCACCGTTCAACAACCCGACCCCATACCTTGGTCTAAGCTTTTATATAAATTCTTGGCCTGGCCCAAGACATAAATCCATCTCCTAGCCCAAGCCCAGATCTTTCCGAGTCGGTTCATCCACACCCGAAATCCCCATTAACTAGCAGAGAAAGCATACTTGGTTATGGGCCAAATTGATCAATAATTTGAGCAGATCTTAGAGAATCGAGAGTCGAGTTAACGAGGATGGCCTTCAGCTCCGGTGTGCACAAAATTACTCAATAAATCAGTGGCTAATTCTACGAAATTTCTGGGTTTTTTCATTGTCAGTTATGGTGGACAATGTCAAACATTTCTTTTGAGATTTCTCACCAATTAGAGGCGTCTTGTAAAATCAAACGGGTAAACTCGTTCCAACGAATCATACTGACATGCTAGTGTGATCAATTTTGGAATTTCATAACAGAATCTCGCGGATTTGGTTAGATTCCGGTTTGGGATTTCAAAAGGAAATTTGGGGAAAACAACCAAATCCAGTTTTTTTGGATATTTTTTAATTTAGTCCCTCAATTTCTTGATTTGATGTATTAGCCCCTATTTTGCTGATTTTGTTTGATTTAGTTCCTGATTATATATTTTATTTATTATATATATATTTAACTTCCTAATAATACCCCAAAATTTTGGGGTATTACAGTTGTTTGCTTTTTTTCAATTTGTGATATCAAAAAGCCCCTAAAAATGGTGGATTTTTTGACCGAACCAAACACTTGGAGCTTCGAATTAATTGGGTCTTCATGAATTGGTTTTTTTCGTCCACAGTTGTCAGAATTTGGAGCAGCAATGTCACACGATCGGAGCAGGCAACTTTCAGGGTATACGAAGCCGTTTCGAGTCGTTGGGACCTTCGGGTACTTGGCCCCGGAGTACATGATGTATGGCAAAGTTGATGAGAAAATAGACGTCTACTCTTATGGGGTTGTGCTTCTGGAGTTGATCACCGGAAAATGGGCGATCCAGACCAACGAAGCATCTAATCCGGAAAGCTTAGTACTTTGGGTAATAGAACATGACATGGGACTCATTTCAATCTAAATTTATTCAAGTTAACGTTTTTAGAATATCACCGGCTCCACGTCTTCTTTTTAACTCCTTTTTACATTATTATTATTATTATTATTATTATTATTATTATTAGTATTATTATTATTGTTATTATTTAAAGAGAATCTTAGAACCACCTGATTTGCAGGCAAGATCTTTGCTCTGCTGTGGTCTGAGTGAACGACTGATTGATCCTTACCTGAATGAAGACTACGACAAGGATGAGATGACAAGGATGATGGTTGTAGCACGGCTCTGCCTCTTGCATTCGTCTTCAAGAAGACCAACTATGAAAACTGTAAATTTTATTCCTTTCTACCAATGATTTTAAGAAAAACAGCACACATTCTCCTTCTCTGAGGAAAAAAATGATATGAGTGTCTCAGAGTGCTGTTTTGTTTGGCAGATTCTTCAGTTGTTGGAGGAGCCAGAGCACTGTCTGCAGATGCAGAGGAAGAGGAGAAGCTTCTTAATGGGATTAGCCCCAAAACTGAAACAGGTTTGCCAGAGGACTTGGATTCTAATGGAGCTCTCAGTACAGAAGACGGTTAGTTGTGCCAGGCAAGAGGCTGTAAATTTGATGGTTTCCAATCATAATCACTACTACTTTTATTACATAGGATGGCTTCGTCATGGGGATAAAGAAAAACCCTTGTAAAAAGCTCTAGAAAATAGGTCAACTGTATATGTCTTCTTCTATTATATTTTGCCTGCTACCAAATCAATCGGGCATACGTTGAATATAAGCTTCATTATTGTGTAATCATGTCGTGGCACAGCACTTTGCATTAATTAATGAAAGTTGATCTACCACCATTTAGTGTTATGAGTCAAATAAATTAAAAATGGCTAAAGTGAATTCGGAACATTGCAAATAGTGATCTAGGTCGAGAACGCACCATAAATTGGGTTGCTCGACCTAGATCAAAATTTAATAGAGGAAAGGACGAACCAGGCAGCTAGGGTCCATGAAGTGACATGTATACGTTTGCCTCAACACAGAACAAGTTAATGCAGATATTGGTTGAATTTTGTTACATCAATTTTTGACATTTGAATTAGTGGATAGATAGAGCTTGGGTTTAACAACAATATGACCTTGGAGATATGATAACCACTGGGGGGAGGTCTTATCTTTTTCTTGTGCTGTGCTGGTTTGGAATCTTCTTCTTCTTGTTATTAATATTAATTATTGTATGTAGCAAGCTCACTCGTCACCTTTGCGGGTTGGTTTTCATGTACTTGTTAACGCAATGTCAGTCAGTCTTATAGACTTTAGACGAGAGCCTGCTAGTGATTGGCCTGGATCGACATAGACTTGGTATATAGATTGTCTGTGCAAGTCCTTTGCTTGTTGCTGGTGAAGTATATGATTTTTTTTTTTTTTTTTTTAGCTAGAGGGTGGCAAGCCATGGCAAGATCTTATCTGTTGGTGGATGTGGTTGAATTGTCATATCCTACCCATTACCAGACAAAAAGATTGAGCTGGAGGCAAGGGGGTCTTTTTGATGTTAAAAGTAAAAGAAAAGAGGGAGAAAAAAAAAAGAAGGGGAAAGGTGGTATTGAAGTTCAATTAATTTGGTTGCCTACTTGAAGCAGGGAGGATGGCTGTGGCCTGTTGTACGGATTTTTCTTAATTATGGTTGATTGGTGTGCTGTCTCTTTCTTTTCAGTAATCCTTGCTTGGGCAATGAAATGGGAACGATTGAGCGCCGGCTAGTGATTGCTGTCCTACAATTTTAACTGTTTGATGGGCCACTTTCTGGTTAAATGTGACTAGAAGGTTGGTGGGTTGAATCTTGAGAGTTCGAATTCTCAATTTTCCCTCACACCCTCCCCCCTCCCCCCTCCCTTTTTGAGAGTTCTGTGCTTTGGATGCAGAGATAGAATGATGGTGAATTATTGTGTATTTGTATTTATTTATTTATGTTTTGTTGGTGGTCTGAGCTCGACTGTGGGTGGTTAGGTTTGGTTATATTTAAAATTGGAAAAGCAAGAAAAGGGAAGGAAACTGCATATTTATCTTCCTTGAGGGACCATGTGAAAGCGCTTTTGGTTGCTAGCTGCAACATTACTGAGGGTTGAGCCCCTCTTGATTGCCTTATTCAATAGCCTGACCTACCACTACCCATTACAATCGAGTCATGCGACAAAAATACCAAGAACATTATCAAGTTAAAAACCAAAAAGGGGATGGACTTACCTGAAAATTTGCACTTATTTGGCATAATTTTGAATTTTGAGAATTTAATCAATTAGACTTATGAGAATATTGACATTTATGAAATTACTGAGATTCTAGGTTTTAAAAGTCTTATTAAGTTTTTTTTTTTTGCTTTTTAAATCTCTGAAATGGGATTTTTGGAGATTTAATATGTAATTTTTTTAGACTTTAAAGTATTAATTTCTTCTTTTTGTTTTAGACTTTTTTGTTTTGAATAATTTTTTTATTTTCTTTTTTACTTTTGTTCTTGTATACTAAAGATATTATAAAATAAAAAATTTCATTTTATTAATATCGGTCAAATATTCTCATAAAAATATCCATTTTATTTAATTCTTATTCATGTTCTTTTTGTATCAACAAAAATACTATACACCACCTTAAATACTTGAATTTTAAATTATTGAAGCAGTGGAAGGGAACAGGCAGTTATAGCAAAGCAAGGTGCTTCCTGGTAACTTAGTAATGGTACTTTTTTCCCTTATTGGACAGGACAAGTCTTACTCGCCAGTGGATTTATCACATTAAAATTCGCCAACGTTTCTTATATTTCTTTGTGAGTATGCCATTCACGTGCCACCATTTATGCAAGCAAAACAGAGATGCGAAACCATCCCATTCTTTGCAGCGGTGTCAAAGCTGAACTGTTTAAGGAGTATACCTGCTCCACTCCATTCATTATAGCGGTGTCAAAGCCAATCTGCTAAGGACTACACCTACTCCATCTCAAACAAGAAAAAGAAAATTAAAAAAAAAATTATCTTACAAAATTTCTTACTCTGACCCATTTTGGTCTAAATGTAGATTCGGAATTAAACTGACTTGAACTAGTTTCCAAATAATTGATACTAAAACCAAGCAAACTCATTAAACAGAGAAATCTGATACAATCACAATTTTATCCCTCTGTTTAAATATTTCTAGTTATATATATCATTAATATACATTACAACAGAGCTCTAGCTTCATGGTTCCTCCCAGATTTAGATTGCGTCAAGCTTAATACAGATGGTGCATTTAATCATGAAGATCATTTGGTTGGGTGTGGGGGTCTTTTTCGTAATCATGAGGGAGATTAGATTAGAAACTTCTCCAAATTCGTTGATAGTGTCTTGAGCCAAGGTTTGGAGAGTTTAGGAGGGCTTGAAGATAGCCTAGAGACTGGAACTAGGCTTTTGAAAAATTATTTTGGAGATGGACTCTAACATTTTTATAGAGATGCTTGAAGGAAATCAGCCGAGTGTTAATATTCATGCCCCTATTGTGATTTGAATAAGATCCTTCTTTCAGCAATATTGACAAGTTGATATTAAACATATGTTTAAATATGTCAATGGCTGTGTGGATTATTGGTTAGGATGGGTTTAGATCAAGAGCCTGGTACGAATGACTAAATTCTCTTCGCAATCAAATCAAAATAGTGTTCAACCAGTTTTTTATTATTTTCTATTTCAGCCCCATTGTAATCAATATGTGTGTGTACACTTTTGAATTTCTCAAGATTTAAAAAAAAAAAAAAAAGAATTAAGGGACATGTAATTGTGTCAATGAGCAGGAGAAGTCCTACCCGCCAGTGGATTTATTACATTAGAATTCGCCAACGTTTCTCATATTTCCTTGTTCGTATGCTATTCATGTGCCACCATTTATGCAGGCAAAAAAGAGACGCCTAACCATCCCATTTATTACAGCAGTGTCAAAGCTGTAACTGTTAAGGAATACACTTACTCCACTCCATTCATTATAATGGTGTCTAAGCCAAACTGCTAAGAACTACACCTGCTCCATCTCAAACAAGAAAAAGAAAATTAGAGAAAATTCATATTACAAAATTTTTTACTTTGACCCATTTTGTTTAAATATAGATTTTGAATTAAACTGATTTGAACTAGTTTCCAAATAATTGATGTTAAAACCAAGCAAGCTCATTAAACAGAGAAATCCGATACAATCCCAATTTTCTTACTCTGTTTGGGATGCTGCAATCAATCTTAGAAATAATTTGGTTGGGTGTGGGTCTTCTTTGTAACCAGGAGGGGGATTGGATTAGAAACTTGTCCAAATTCATTAGTAGTGCGGATGCATTCTCAACCAAGATTTGAAGAGTCTGGGAGGACCTGAGAATGGCTGAAACTAGGTTTTAAGAAGATTATTTTGGAGATAGACTCTAAGATTCTTATAAAAATGCTTGAGGGAAATTGGCCAAAATTAGTATTTATACCCCTGTTTTGATCAAAATAAGATCTTTCATCCAGCGAGATTAACAAATTGAGGTTAAGCACTTGTTTAAATAGGTTAATGGCTGTGTGAATTGTCAGGTGAGGACAAGTTTAGCTCAAAAGTCTTGTACGAAAGACTAGGCCCTCCCTCCCAATTAAGTTAGAATAGTGTTCAACCTTGATTTAACAGAAACCTATGCTACTCACGAATTCCTAGCTTAGTTTCTGTTTCTTTCTTTCTTTGTTCTTTTTTTTTTTTTGGGTTTCAGCCCCATTGTAACCAATACACACACACAAAATATACTGTAAACATGTTACCAGAAAAAAAAAAAAAAAAAGATACTGTAAATATATTCGACCAGTATAATACATACTCTTTATAATGCGAACTTTATAGTGAGCCAACCGAAAGATAAAATAATCTTCCTCCTTTAATAGCCTCATAGTCACTGGCGAAGCTGGCACCACGTTTTGTTTGCCGAAGAAGGAAGAAATGAATTTAGGATCTTTCCTCGGACAGTCTGGAGCTCCCAGTATGTCGGTGCAAAAATTATACTTTAATTCTGCCCCTTCATCGTGTTGGCCTGTGTAAATGCTCGACCGCTTATGTAGCTGCCCTAGTAAATCAAGAAAGATGCAATGGTGAGTGGCTCAGGAAGAACCTAGGGTGATACAAAGCAATGGGTTGGCAGAAGACAATACAGAGTACGCATGATCACTGGTGAGGATGGCCAGAGGAGGCCACAAGAGCAGTGGAGGAGTGTTATCGTCTTTGCTTAGGACCAGGCCGGAGAAGAATAAGAGGACGGTGGTGGTTGGCCTCAGCTCCGATAACTCCAGCAGACAGCTTCTGTTGAGGCTGCTCACCTCGGTGGTGGTTCCTGGCGATAATGTGCTCGCGGTTCATGTGACGGAGCCGGATGATTCTTTCGATCCCAATTATTTCCATATCCATGAAGATCTCTGCAAGTCCAAGCAGGTCCTTGGCTTTCCTTCTCTCCATTAAGATGATTAATAGGTCTATTAGCCAACTCCCATGGCGTTAATTCTTGGATAAATATGATGACTATCTTAGGCAGTGTTTAGGAAAGTAGGAAGAGAGAGCAAAG